AAGGATAGTTTTAATTTTCATCTTCAGTAAAGGAAACTTAGGCATGAGGGGTTTACCCAACTTGCCCAAGGTCATGATCTTAGCTCCAGAATAAACTTTGAGACTTTCCACTTGTAACTAGTTCTCACTGCCCCGACCTTGGAATTCTATAATCTGGGGATGAAAACTGGGTCATATTCACGTTTAGTGCTTATATTAGAATTAGTCTGGAGTACCTAATATAGGTTAGAGTATTCTCTAACCTTTTCTTTCACTCTTGCTCCTGAGATCTGTCTTCACAGTTGACTGGTTCCAGATATACCATTGAAAAATGCAAATCAGATCACATCGGTCCACTGACTAAACCCTGCCTAAGTCTCTGAATCATCTCCCCTGCTCTGGCCTTGCTCACTGGCCGGGTCATTATCTTGAGTAAGCGGCTTTCTCCTCTCAGGCCTCTGCCTTCTGCCACAATGCTTTATCCCAGTTATTGTCTTTGTGTCTTCTGCCCAGCCTTTATGCATTAGCATAAATGCTATTCATATTTAGCAAGGTGCTCCTTGACCAATCTAAAGTATATTTCCACCATCCCTATTTATTAATTAATACGTTACTGTGTGTTATTTTCAAGATACTGCCAATAGATATCATTATCCTAATTGTTACTTGTTCACTATCTAAGCATCCTCCCCCTCTGAAACCAGGAGGTGAGTTATTGTCCACGGTTGCATTCCCAGAGCCATTAGACTACCTAATGCCGGTAGATGTTTAATCAATAATCGTTAAAGAATGATGAATGAATGAATCCCAAACAATGAAGCACAAAACTCCTTCTCCTTCCACCTCGAAACAGATAAAGCTCAATGAAATTAACTCGATAGAGGCACCAAGTAACTCTTTCACAAACACCGAGCTTGAATTCCAGTTCATTAAGCTCAGCAAGCACACACACTGGGTTTACCTGAGATCTCTCTAACATCTGGTCCCAACTGGTCACTGCCTATAATACTAAATAGAATCATACAGCAGGCTATGTTGGTTTTAGATGCAGATCACATTTCTGAAGCAGAGACTGTCCGACATCTATCTAGGAGGGTAAATAACGGAGTTCTTTGCTTCTGGAACCACTCACTTTTGCCAGAACAAATGAGGAGAAATAAGGCCACTTAGAAGGAATTTAATAATATTTTCTATTTGTCAGCCAGACTTTCCACTATAAAGGAGTAAATAGTTTAGTGAGGGACAACTAAAGAAATTGCTTTCACGTGAAATTCAGAGAGAAGATACTGCTTTCACTTCAAGATTGGAGCACAGAGTAGAGAAAGCGAGATTGAGTTAAACCTTGAAGGAAGCTACTAAACAAGAGTTTTCTCTGCACAGCCCACAGAGCGAATAATTACTTCTCCTCTGTGTATGTTCACACTTTATTATTCATTTATAAATTAGATTGTAATTCTTGTTTCTGTCTACAAGTTATTATATGGTTTTGCACGTGGGTTGTCTATTAGCACTGAATCTGCAGAACCTGATAAATAATATTGATAGCTGTAATAATAAGAAATAATAGAAAGTATTTGTGCATTCGGCTCAGGCAACGTTTGGAGTGTGGTTGAGTCTGACTGATTTAACTTCAGGCTGTGCCTTACTTACCTTGGGTAAGTGATTTTTTTTGTTTGAGACAGAGTCTCACTTGTTTGCCCAGCTAGAGTGCCGTGGCGTGAGCCTGCTCACGGCAACCTCCAACTCCTGGCTCAGCGATCCTCCTGCCTTAGCTCCCGAGTAGCTGGACACAGGCATGCGCCACAAGCCCGGCTATTTTTCTATGTATATTTTTAGTTGGCCAATTAATTTCTTCCTTATTAGTAGAGAGGGTCTCCTCTTGCTCAGCTGGTTTCTAACTCCTGACCCTTGAGCAACTCCTACCTTGCTCCCAGAGTGCTAGATTACAGCGAGAGCCACGCGCCCTGCTGCTGTGGTAAGTTGATTTTAGGGTTCAGATAAAATACAGGAACCCAGTGAGAATTCGAATCAGATAAACAATGAGTACTATAATATTTTTAAGTATATCCCTACGATATTATGCAACTTATGACAAATATTATGCATAGGTGACCGAAATTTCACAATGACGGGCAGTCCTGTATTTTTATTTGCTAAATCCTAACAACCTAGTGATTTCCCTGACCACGTTTGTGACCTCACACGAGGTGGAATCAGTACTTCTTTTTGGATACTAACTTATAACATCAAAGGACCTTGCTCTCTCGTTGAACCCTCAGTTTACTTCCCAAATCACGCACACTTCGGTAGAGACTAAGGGTTAAACTCGGACAATTGGCCCTGGAGCACCAATAACCTAGGTTACCCTCATCCCAAATGGTTTTCTAGGCGTGCAGAGAAATTTCAACACCGCTCTGCGAACTGCGGATGAAATATTTGTCACCGTGCTCCCAAAGCAAGCAGGAGAGGGCTGTAAAGCGACATCCCAGCAAGCTGCAGAGAGAGAGAAGAACCGCCCGATAATTAGCCCCAGGGACAAGGAGGCCCGCGTCTCTGCGCAAGGCGCACAAGGACCGCGCGGACCCGCGCGCCCGCCTTCGGTCGCGTCACGCGGCGAGCTATATCTCTCT